GAAACTGAAGATAGCCCAAAATCGACCCTTATACGCCCCCGTCCTTTATCGAGATTTTAATCTTCGTAGTTATGAATATTCAGGTTTATTTCGTGGTATTAATCAAATAAATATTGATGGAACATATGGAGAATTAATATGGAATAATGAATGGATATCATATCTTGATACAATGTTACAAGTACATCTTATAACATCTCAAGGTTTACAATTACCAACACGTATTGATTCATTACGTATTGATCCTAAATATCATTTAGAATCCATATCATCATTAACATCAACATGTTCAGTTTATGTTGATTATTGGAATAGTCTTTGTTTTTCAGGTGGAATTGAATTATTTGGTTTACATTGTACAGCTACATCAAAGAAACATAAACAACAAAATACAATACTTGAATCATATTTGTTTGTACCATTTGATAATATAAATATTACTGATGAACTTGAGGGTGTGGGTGTGGGTGTGGGTGTGAGTTAATACTACAGAAACACACTCACCCACACCCCCACACCCCACAGCCACACCCACACACCCACACCCACACCCACCCACATCCACACCCTAATCTATAATCGACATGATATTCGAAATTGTAATTTCGTTGATATACAGAATGATTTTGAAATATGGTATAATAACACTTTTCAACATAATCATCAAAATTCTGATCAGGAACTTGATTTTCATCATACAACAGATACTTCTGCACAATGTTTATGTTCATATCATTCATTAACAAGTTCAACTAATAAAAATCAATGGTCTCTTAAAAATGCTATCGAATATACATTTCAAGAAAATTTTAATTATTCCAATTTGCATCCTTATCAATGTCTAGCAATAACAAAACTTGCAATTATTATTTTTGAAAAATGGGATTATACAAAAACTCAAGATTATATCAAAAATAAATCATATGAAACAAAAAAGTAGATTTGAATAGTTTCTCTCATTGAATTCATGATTTTGTCTTTAGAATGAATACACAACAGTAGTTCCTGGTGGTTCAATTATACAAATATATAAATGAACTAATCAATTTCGTTCGCTTCCTTAGCAAATAAAACTAGATTTTCAATGCTTCAAATTTTTTTTGCTTTTCAAAATAAATTTTTTATATCTTTATCTTTAATTCATAATAATAATAATAATAATAAAATTCATTTCTTTTATATTCGTTTTGGATAAAAAATAAATTAAATAAAAGTCCTGAAGAGTACTATCTTTATAACGATACGAAACGCGTCGGCGTTAAATTAAATCTGCATTATTTTGTTTTTTCTAAAATCTAATTCAAGCACACACAATATATCAAAATATTAAATTTGACTTAATAATCGGTTGCTGAAAAGCAAAAGTTGAAAATAGCAGATTGATTTATATTATTTCGGCAAAAAAATATATAGATTGATCTGTTTTCGAATATTTGAATTATTCACCCACACCCACACACCCTAGTTGCTGATATCAGAATGACCCACCAATTATAAATTTATTTATTGCACCAAAACCTATATAAAGCAGCCACTTTTTCATTATTCTCATTCACAACACACACTTATCTACAAGCAACACTACAGAAAGATCGATAATAAATGGGCTCTACACAAAACAATTAATTCTGTTTATAATGAATCTATTGAAAAATCAAATCGATATCCTATGAGTTATTAACATAATATCACTTATTCTATCAGTTATCGGTTCATCTGTTTTTTTTTGGATAAAAGCCCCTTCAATCCATACAAATATTAATGGTTATCTCTTATTCTCTTCTAGATATATATATATATATACACCATTATTATCTTACTTACGGCTTTGTGAAGAAAAAATGCCAATTCTGCGAGTCATCGAAACAAGCACCAAACAGCGGAATACAACGAATCATAATGCCGTTATCATTAGTCCTGGTGAAATGTCACTTCAAGGGTTTAGGTAAGCTTCCCTTTTCTCACCATCCACCGGTTATTTTTACTAATACTGATTGTTTCAAAAAACTGATTATGAGAAGAAGTATATTCTTGTCTTAGTGTAAAAATGAGTTACAAGCTTTCATGTTCAAACACACGCATATTTCGTTGCATGTGTGATTAATTACATACTATGCTTCAATATTGGTATATTTAATTCGTGTAATTTTTAGTCAGGTCGAAATATTAAAGTATGACACATGGCATATATTCAATGTCATCCGATCAGATGAAGTAATCGTGGGCTACATGAGTTTGTCAAAGCATGCGGTAACATTTTCAAAAATCTTTTATTAACTCACAGGCAATACTATATGTTTTCAGCGACGAATGTATCGTTTCCATTTGGGGAATCACTACCCGATTGAAGGATATTGTTGCTTAACGGTAGTCCCGCAAAATCCAAGATTTGACGGCTCAAAAATTGGAATCATAGGTCAGGACGCAACAATTGAAGAAATTTTAACATCAGTCTTTGGACGACGCCAACTTCGAGTACAGGATCGTTCTGATCTCAGTAAGCTTGGTTTCTATTAGCTTTACAATATGACTTCAAATCATTATAGCGATACAACCTATGCGTGGAGTCATATTATATGGACCTCCGGGAACAGGCAAAACTAGCATGATTAGGTATGTGCTCATAAAATTCATTTCATATTTTGTATATAGTTCTATATCAGGGCTATATGCAACTACATGAAAGTTGAGCCTCACATTGTCAATGGACCAGAACTTCTGAATAAATAAGTCGGCAATTCGGAGCAGGCCGTTCGTCAACTTTTTATTAAAGCAAAAAACGATCAAAAAAAGGTAATCATCAATTTGTACTAATGTCGTTTTGTTTCAATATTGGGAGTTGTAAAAGGAATGAACATGGCTAAATAACTTTTAATTATCATTTTATAGCTCGGCGACGAAAGCAAACTACATGTTATTGTGTTGGATGAGATGGAAGCTCTCTTTCATAGGCGATCTGTTCACGTACGTTTTACTACATATGTCACCAGAAAAGCATGTTTTTTTTCGTAGTCTGGTGAATCTAATACACGAAATACGGTTGTCAGTCAAATGTTAACTAAGATGGATGAATACGAACAGTTGAACAATATTGTCATATTTGGTAAGGTTCAGACAATGTTCGATACGTTTAGCTTTCATCTACCTTGCTTTTCTTAGGTACAACAAATCGACTCGATATGATAGATCCAGCACTTCTGCGCGGTGGACGCTTTGAACTCGAATTCAAAATCGGTAAATTCTTTGTTGTTTGATTCATTGTATATAAGTGACATTTTCTATGTTAGATCTACCTAACGTACAACAACGATTCGAAATACTGAAATTTTTTACAAAACCTCTTCAAGAAAATAAAATATTGGCATCCAATGTTACTGACGTGGTACTTTCTCAAATCGCCCAAGGTACAACGAACTACAGCGGTGCTGATCTAGAACAACTTATTCAATGCGCTATTGATTTAGCTATACGCCGAGTCGTCAAAGTAAGTTTGGAATAACAAAAAAAAATAATTTGATGATTTAATATTCTTACTTTTTATTGCTACATATAGATCTCGGACATTAATATAGACCAGATGAATCACATCGATGGATCGAAAATTATTGTTTCTTGTAGTGACATCGTTACTGCTTACCAAAAACTTGAATATCAACGTCGTATGAAAGAGCAAGAAAACAAAAATAATGCAAACTAATCTGGTTCCACGATTGATATACGCTCGATCAACTCTGGCATATGAACGATTATAAACAAAGATTTCTAATACAAGTTGCAGTGACGTATCCAGGATTTTTCAGTATGCTGAATCTCAATTTCCGG